GGCCTTCAAGAAAGGCCTCAAGACATTTTTATTTAAAAAAGCCTATGAACATTAGTTAGTATTTTATCTGTGTGGTTTTATGGTTATTTTACTGTTTTGTTTTTACTACGTATGTTATTTTACTGTAATGTCTCATTTTAACTATGTATACCGTTTTTATTATACGGTTTTGTTTTAACTATGAATTTTGTAGCACTTTGAGATTTTTTTTTTAAATGTAAAGTGCAATACAAATAAAATGTATTATTATTATTATTATTATTACCCCACCCCTCCTAAATCCCCGCCCTACACTAAAATATCTGAAAAACTCTTCTATAAAGGGGATAAGATATAGAAACAAAAATCAAAGACCTAAGTTAAATAAACATAGTGTTGATAAAAGTTTGTGGCAACACAAGTACTGTATGATATGAGGAAAGTATCGTCAACAATTGTTTTTTACTAACTAAATGGCAGTTAGAGAAAAACCTTTAACCCCAGGCTCACACAGACTCCGGTCTTACCGTTGCGGTGCGGTGTGTGCGGCGCCGCAAGGATTCCAAGTCATTAAAAAGACGTAAACCTCTCTCACCGGCTGCTGAGCTGTCCGGCTGCGGTTACCGAGACACTCCGGCGCTGCAGAAAATTCCGCAAGAAAGCTATCCTTGCGGCGTGCCGGAGCCCTCCGCAACAAGCTCTCGCAAAAATCCTTTATTTGGGCCGTGTTATCGCGTGAAGTTACGTGAACTCAAGTTAACTTCTGTTAAATCTTCGGACCTGTTGCCGGAGCCGCAGAGCCGCACCGCACCGTAGTCAAAAGGGCGGTGTGAGAGGGGGTGTGCGGGAGTTGCGGTCTCCGTCGGCTCGGTAACTGCACCGGAGCCAGTGTGAGCAAGGGGTAAGCCACCACTTGGGGGGAGTGGTAAACTAATGGCCAGAGCATTGCGTTTGGGTGCCGGAGGTTCTAAGTTCAACCCCCACCTGCATCCGTGGTGGGGGTTCCTGGTCCCGGATCAAGAACCTTAACCCCACACTGCTCCCTGGGCACTGCACAGGGCAGCCCACTGCTCCCCAAAGGGATGGGTTAAATGCACAAGTGAATTTCTCCTCTGTCAGATTAATAAAATTCAATAATCATCAACATCATTAGATTTCAATTAAAACAAACAACTAAGTTTAGTTGGCACTAAAATTGTAGAAGAGAAGTCAAATGTTTATGCAAAAATAGGCCAGATCAATGACAGAAGCTGGAGATTTCTTCAGAACTTACTAAAATAAAAGGTGGAAACTGGTCAGGGAGGGGGATAGTGTATCTAAGAAAGCTGGATGATTTTCGAAATCCTAGTGATATGTCTAAACACTAAAAGAACCCCAGATCTATAGTGAAATGTACTGCTTTCATTTTCTGGGATGGACCTGGATGCACATTTCAATTTGAAGCTATGTAAAACCCAGCACACTTAGGTATGGATTAATGCTGGGAATAAAGAGGGAGTCAATGAATACCACAAGAACAATGAAAGAATGAATTTATATGGAGGAAATTGTAGAATAGGATAACCAGGTATTTAAATATAAGTTCACTCAACATCTAAGAGATTACATTAAGGGGGTGGGGGATGGACATGTCCTCTGAATATGTCCCTGAATTAAAATTTCAGATTTAAAGAACCTTGACAAAAGAGTGGACAATATATAGATAGGATGAGCATATACATTTGTCCATCTATGTAATTTTAACCTTTCCATGTACTGCAATTCTGAGATCAGATTTGTTTGTTTTTTGAGTTGAATTGTACAGGATCTGTCACACCAAGAGCTTTAAAATGGTTTATGATGAGGGATTTACTTTACATAAAAAAAAAAAAAAAATATATATATATATATATATATATATATATATATATATATATATATATATATATATATATATATATATATATATATATATATATATATATATATATATATATATTTATTTATTTTTTTTTTATTGCTGCCCCCAGGTTCCACTGCTAAGATTTTGTTTTACCTCAGTTTTCGTTTATACGTGATTATTTCTTAATAGATGTATTTCAACTGGATAAAAGTCGGTAGATCTAAGGAAACGTTAGTTCAACAGCAGGATGTGGGAGTAAGCAGATTAAAAAACCCCAGAGAGCAGCAGAAGATAGCATTTGACTGACCTTTAGAATAAAAGTGTGGGCTTGTTGCTAAAGATATCCTCAGGGACGTGGCTAGACCTATTTTAGGGTGGCTGAAGTCATCCCTTCGTTGGTATTAGCCACCCCATAATTATTTTGCGATTTTTATTGTTATTTTTTTATTTATTGATTTTTTTTCCATATAACCCCAAACAATTGCAGTAAAGCACTGAAAACGAGCCACCAAGAAGGCAAGTTAATCTGAAGATAAGTTCCTGTTAGTTTATTTACAAACACAATTATTTATACAATTATTAATATCGTTAGGATATTCATTTCCTTCATTGGCTCCGCGTCCAGCGTCACGTCACGTGGTACACGGCCATCAACTGGACCATAGCAGCTGTGCAGTGCAGCAACAGCGCGCCCTTTGAATCTCCACACAGTCATCGAGCTTGATTAGGAAAGTTATGGTTGCGTGCAGATACATACGGTGAGTTTGCCATTTGATGTCAGCGGTTTACATTTTCTTCACTTTACCTGGAGTGAGGAAAGAGACAATATAGGCCTAATAGCTTGTCTGATTCAGTAGGAATTACGTTACCATGGTGAACAAAGTCAGTGGTGTGGGAAAACACGATGTTGTTGTAGCCTACTAGCATCATTATAATAGTTTTGTCACAGGAGCAGTGATGGGCAGTAGCGCCGCTACATGTAGCGAAGCTATTAGTTTAACTACATTTTCAAGTAGCTTGACCGTAGCGTCGCTGCTTTATTTATCAAGTAACTTTCCTGTAGCGACGTTATTGTTTTGATCAAGTAGCGACGTAGCGTCCACAAACGCTACAAAATCCAGGGCAAAACTAAGAAATGAAACCAGGTTTTCTATTTCTAAACAACAATCAGCCACAAAACTACTGTAAATAGCAGTTTCAGCTGACGCTTTATAAGTGGCGTAGTAGCACAGGCACACTCCGTAGGGTTAAACAAGCGCACCTTTTCCGAGGCTGTCGTTCTATTGGCTGGAAAGGTTGCTAGGCAACGATCCAACTGCAGTCTGAGAGAGCAAAACAAATCCGCAAGCAGAGCGTAACTGAGACCCGTGCAGAGCGGAGATGGAGGCAAGCGAGAGGAAAAAATATCTGTGATAATATAGAAAATATCTGTTTAAATCTGAGAGAAGAAACAAAGATTTTTGAGAGAAGAGAAAATATTTGAGAGAGAGCGCATGTTTTGAGTGTGAGCATTATAAGTTTTGAGTGCAAGAAGATGAAATTCTTTTCTCTAATTGAAGTTATGTGCTCTTGCATTATGGCAGGATAATTCTCCCATATCTATGTGCCACCAGTCTGATAGGGCGACACTGTGTGATATGGTAGTGCTTGGGTTGACTATAGTTCTAAGTTGTACGTTTCATATACTGTTGATTTTGTGTTTTCATTAATACATTGTACTTAAAAATACTTCCTTTATTTGCATTAAAACTTTGTCAGACTGATGTGAAAAAGTCTCAAGGATATCCTTCTTTGCAATGATGCTATTGCCTATTGCCTACTGTCCATTTATGCAACTTGTATTTTGTGGTTAAACTTTAGATTAAGCAGAAATCTATCAAAGATAATGCTGCATTTATAGTTAAGTTCCTCACATATATGTGTTTCTCTCTGTGCCAGGTGTAGAGAAAGACATGCCAAAGTCCAGGTCACACACACACACCAAGCACACACACAGAAACAGGGTTATTGCAAAGCAGACAGGGGTTCCTGACAGGTTGTGGGTGCAGGGGAGATGGGGAAAGATGAATGGCCAGGTTAAGGGTTTATGAAGATGTTGGGAGTCTGTTGGTTAGACAACTGTCTTCTGTAGAAGGTTTCCATTATGATGAGTGGCGAACCACTTGCCTTCTTCCATTTATGCAGTAATGCATGGCACCTACCATTTACTCTTTGTAATTTAGCACATTTTAACTGGTGTAGTTTAGTTGGTGAAGTAGCATTAGTGAGGGAAGTGTTTCCCAGGTATGTTGCTCTTAAAATAATGAATTTATAGACAGCGCCTTAGAAAGTGCACTGAAAAAATTTCGGCGCGCGCCATGCGCGCGCAATATCTTACCTAGGGGCTAAGCCACCCATGTCTCTCAAACCTAGTGACGGCCCTGGATATCCTGTTCCTCAGGTGTTGACCTCCAGGCTTTATTGCAACTGAAATTCTAATTGCCTATCTGTACCAGTCGGTTGAGTGTTTGCTTTAAAACGTCTTAAAAAACACATTCAACATATCACTCATAAAGAAGAGTGAATGTGGCTTTCTGATAATCAGTGGTTTGGTTTTTTCTCTCTCTATGGCTTTTCCTGTCGGTTTACACCTCCCAGTGTTATTGTCATTTCTCTTTTTTGGTAAACTTACTACACTCTTCCTGCATTTACCACACTTTTTATTAAAGCATTTTTTAAAATCTCTTTGCCTCCCTTTTGCCTTTTCCTATGATAAATTAATCAACTGTCATTATCTGTTGTTCAAAAGGGTAACTTAATATTTCTGAACAGCACCCCGTGGCTTATCTTGTCCTGTTTGATATTTCTTTTGGATATATTTAATTTGGTTTTATTTAACAAGTTGAGGAAAGAGACACAATAAAAGCTCTAGAAAAACATTTTCAGATATACATTATTATAGAACTTAAGTATAATACTAAGAGTAATACTCTACAGCCATATTAATCTCACTGATCAAAAATAGCCACAGTTACTTTCTCAAAACCCTCAACTAAGCGTCCTTCTTGCCAAAGTCTCATTCATGCCTTACAGTGAAGAAAAAAAAAGGCTGATATACGCTGATAACTGTTAACAAGCATCAGTCAGCAAAGGAGCCTACCTTTATAGAAGTGTTCAGCAAGGTGTCCAGAGCTTTTATGATGGATTAGTATTTGTCAGTCTCAAAGTGACTAATAGGTAAGTTTCCTGTTTCATACGTTCCCTCTCTACTGTGACGACTGGGAAATATTCGCAAAGCCTTGAAAAGATAAAAGCTGTGGGTGATTGTGGTATGTGGTTTTGTAATAGTAAATGAGTGATCTGCAATCCATCAGGCAATGTGAAAAGACATGGGTGAAAACCCAGAGTTATTTCCGTTTCCTTTCTTCTCAATCTTTTTGCTGAAGTAAGAAGAATCTGTCTTTGTGGAAAATGTAGTTTCATTTACCGTTTGAAGCTATGCAGTTTTTCGGTTGGCTGTTCCAAACCAGACCTTGGATGCTCCTAAATACATACATTTAGCCAACAAGAGTAACAAAAAGTTACTGAAGCTGTCCGCAGGATATTGGACTATAGTGTTGAGTGGTGCTTTGTCTGTTGCCCCTGAACTGCACTATTAATTTCTTTTTCTGTGTTAGTGTATCTTATAAAATCTTAATAAAATGCATTAAAGCATGTGTATTTAAAGTGAAGAACAACAACTAAAATGTGGAAAGGTTTATTTATTATTAATCTGTTGAGAAGACATTGCATTGCATTGCATTGCATACTTTATGGCTAAATTTTAACAATGCCTTCAGAATAAAGTTTGCTTAATTTTCTGTACTGCTTAGAGTAAGTTTAATAATATGCATACTTTAACCCAGAACAGGCATAATGCGGATGCTACAACAGTTTTACCGGTGAAGAGAGAGCTGAACCAAACAGCAAAGCTCTCAATATACCACTCTAAATATTTCTGATGTTTTCATAAAAGATGTTGCCCTACTGTATCTGACCATTGTTCTGTTTATTTTGAAACCATCGTTCCCACTAACATAATTACCCAAAGAAATGTTATAGGAAAGAAAGTTATTGTGGGCAGTACAATCAAGAACTTTACTCAGGCTCATCTTCAACTTTACCCTGTAAATCAGTAGATGAGCTTTTTGATCATTCTTTCTAAAGTTACACACATCTTTGATTACATTGCTCCAGTTAACGTGAAATATTTCTCTGGGAAGAAGAAATTTCATGGAGAAACGCTCCAGCAGTAAGAAAAGAAAAGAGGGAGTTCCAGAATGGACTCTAAGTTCACTATGAAAGCTATAAAGAGAGACGTCATATATACAATTTACAACTAAAAGATGAAAGAGAATCTTTCTTCTCTGGGATTATCAACAAACATTAACAATGTTTGCACCTTTTTTGCCACAGTTAACAGGATAGCAAACCCTCCTATCCCTGTGTCAGCTGATCTAAAGAGCACTGAAAATATTTTTCCAAAGTTCTTTACTGCGATACAAATGTTGTCACCAGGTGGAATAGCTCTGTTAAAATAAACACTCTGCCAAATAAACTGCAAAAGTTTAGGAGAAATTGTTCAGCAGCTAAGGTCCTCCTCTTCCTGTCATGATGTGTTACCCACAGGTTTTATTAAAAAGGTTTTAAACATCCTGTATGTCGAGAGTTTTCCTCCCAGGCCCTAGAAGAGAAGCTTAGACGAATTGGTCCTCCAGAGCTATAGACCTATCGCAAACCTAATCTTTATCAGTAAGATTATTGTTTATTGAATAATTGATAATTACTTAATTAATAATCGTACTTTAATTAGTAACAGAACCCCCAAAAAGGTTGAAAAGTTTCAAATTTGAAAAAAAAAACAAAAAAAAAAACATTTAAATTCGGAAACAGCTAATTTCCACTGAAGTAAGGAGATCCGGAAAATGTACAAATTTTTTTCAATTTAAAATATATTAAAAGAAAAATATGTTTCTCTATTAAATTCAATATATATTAAAGTGAAAAAGCAAATAACAAAGTCAAACGGGATGAACTTGAAATCTTAAATGGAGAAGGAATTAGGTGTTGCGCATTGAAGTTTTGTTTGGTCAGACTGCAAGGTATTTTTTTAATGGATAAGGTGCTGTTTGATTTTATTTAGTTCTTAAAAAGCTGATAAAGGAAGAGTTGGTATGTAACCTGGGTTCTACCAACTATGCCAGAGGGCAGTGCTTTGCGGCTCAATATAAAATTTGTCCATGTGCAGAGGGTGGGCTCTTCTACCAAGTCACCTGGTGACCTGGGTGACATCCATATCTCTATATATGATGTCGCCCAGCATTATGTTCTTTCCCCACTCAATCCTTGCTATGCCCCACTCCCACAGACTGCCTCTTTGGCTCTCTGAACAACACCCTTACCCCACACTGCTCCCCGGGCGCCCCACGATGGCAGCCCACTGCTCCCCAAAGGAGTGGGTTAAATGCAGAGGTACATTCCTCCAATGTGAAATCAATAAAGTTCAGTTATCCTCTCAAATCCCATCCGTCGCCGGCGACCGTTTTATTACTGTTTACAACTAATAACTCAAAATGCATGAAAATTACAACAGTAAAATTTTCACCAATATACACGTTAGACATTCGTTGGAAAGCTTAGATTCTCCACAGTTCGACCTCTAAGTTCTTTTTATGAACACAGCAAGCCCCAAAGCACAATTAACACAGATATAGCAGAATGTCAAAATGTAACATGACAAAGGAGCCCCAACAACAGACCTTTGAAGGTGTCTAGACGCTGTATTTTAAATCCAATTTTCAATTGTTTGTACTCCATTTGTCCATAAGGGTCCACAGATTAAAAGTAATCCGGCATATTCATAATAAAAATATTCCATTATGAGAAAATTGCCACATAATGTCCATTTTTTGACATCAGAAAAATTAGCTGGTCATAGCTAATGTTTAGCATCTTAGTAATAAGACTTCCTCAAACTTTTGCCTGCGATATTTGGTATATTTCTTTACATCGTCTTCTTACCCACAAGACAAAAGTGTCCGCATCTTTGTGTGACTCGATTTGAGTCACGGTCAGCCAATGAGGTCTCACTTGCACTCCTTGTCTGTCAGCCAATGACGCGCCAAGTTGAGCCATATTACGCCTCATAGAGTCCTGTTAAGACCAAGTGGGCTGTTTGGCTTTGTTGCCAATGAAATAAGGTTTCAAACAAGGATAGACATGGCTGGGTTGCATAAAGCAGAGCCTTGTTATTGGCCTGCATAAGAGTGAAACACACTGCTGAGACTGGATCAGCTCACACAGTTCCCATTTACTAACAACGCTCCAATAATTTAGAAGTTTGGACACTTATTTAGTTTTAGTTATTTGCTATTCTATTTGGGTATGCAAAATAGACGAGGATTACTTTAAATAAGGTGGGTGATATGCAGCACCTCAGTGACTTGCTTTGTTTAGTGAGTATGTTTGTTTGAATTCTACCAAATGGTTTAGTGTCATGATGGGATAAAAATGTCTAACCCATATGCAGAAACACATGGAGGTATGGAGAAAGTTCAGAAGGTTTATTGAAATTAGTGTAAATAAAATGTGAATGGGAACTGGGGTGGTCAGACTGGTCACGGCTGGATCTTGCAGGCAGGCAGGTTTCAGGCTGAGAGAAAGGATTCAGATCTGCAGGGGGGAAGGGAACCTTGTAAGTCCAGAGGCTTGTCGGCAGGCAGGGGGCTGAGGGCTGAGGCTGAGTGCAGGCTGGCAGGTCTCTGGTTGAGAGAAAGGATTCAGATCTGCAGAGGGGGAACCTTGTGAGTCCAGAGGCTGGTTGACTGGCAGAGGACTTAGGTCTGAGACTGAGACTGAGACTGAGGGCTGGCAGGCAGATTCCAGGCATGGGCAGAGGCAGAGACTCAGACTTAGTGCAGGCAGGCAGATTCCAAGTTGAGGTCTCTCTCTTCAGTGGTACAGGTTTCCAGGCAAGTCAGGTTCATTACTGGCTAACACTCTGGCGCCGGAGTATCAGTCTCCTTCTCCTTAAGTAGGAGTCCTCTTGATGAGCAGATGGAAGACAGGTGTTGCAGGTGAGCACAAGCCCTCAGGAAGGGATCCTTGGCGCCCTCTGGTGGGCAAGCCTCCGGATCCCAACATTTAGAGGCTGTAGCAACACAGGTGATCTGACCTTATGTTTGATGTGCGAGATGTAGAAAGAGGAGAATGCTAGTTCCTATATAAAGTTGCAGACATCACCCGGGTCACATTGACTGAGGTGACTTTGTTGTCACAAGACATCTAGCAAGCATATAGGACATATCCAGGTCCTAAACACTCTGATGGTCAAAAGAAATGAAATAGCAGTGGTTTTATGCACTGCACTGACAGTCAGCCTCCATATGTGGAACACATAGAACCTACATATGCAACTACATATGTTCTTCTCATACAGATGCTTACTTACACTGGTAAAAAAAAAAAAAAAAAAACTGGATAACAAAGAGGAATAAAAAAATAACTCACTGACATTAAGTGTAGAATGTCCCTCCAGCAAAAAAAAAAACAAACAACAAACATCATGCTGGGATTCCCATCTTTCACAAGGGGGATTGTGTTTTTGAGTGTACAATTTTCAAGTGTAACAATGGTCAATATGAGCAAACGCTTTAGTTTTACTTTTATCCGAGCACAGTAAATTGATCAAAGGTTAATGTCTTTGTCCCTGAGTGACCAAAAATAAAAATCTGGCTCAAAGTGTTAATTTAAAAGAAATTACATAAAAAGATAGTAATGATCCATATGTAATATCTCTATTACTTAATGAACGTGTAATCTGTGCAAGATGTGAACTGCATCATGGCCAGTGTAAGCAACACCAGCTATCCCCAGTTTAATTAACAGCTAATTAACTAATTAACAGACCGTGTTTGGTAACATTTTCAAACTCAAGAAGTCATCACCGCCAGGGGGAAGGAAAGCTGAAAATGGTGAGCTATTGATTAACATATGAGGCAGGGCACAACCTTACTGGACATGCTTAGTATTTAAGAAACTAATGAAATAAATGAAAATATGTAATGTAGAATAAGGTAAATGTAACAATAAATGTACTATTTCATATATTGTACCTTTGATTTATCTATCCATCCATCCATTTTCCAATGTGCTCATCCCTACTGGGGTAGCAAGGGGTGCTGGTGCCTATCTCTAGCTGTCTATGGGTGAGAGGCGGGGTACACCCTGGACAGGTCACCTGTCTATCACAGGCGAACACAGAGAGAAACAGGAAAAACAACCATTCACGAACACACTCACAATTTAC